TTGCGTATTAGGGGTGGCTGTCTATGCTCATCCCTTTGGCCCCCACACGTGTGCTACAATATTGACAGTGGCCAAATCGATGCCTCTGGTGGCAGCAACTGCTGAAGCTGTGCTCTCTTCAGGCTGTATGCTAGGGATAAGGTTGTGTTTAGATTGGCTTCCCTCAACCTGAAATACTCTAGTTGTGTCAGACTACAACTTCCAGAATCCCCTCCCAATATTGTCATTGGCCATAGGGCTCAAGGGGTAATTCGGGTTGCAACATAATACATCTAGATGTCACAGGTTGGGGGAAGTTGGTATACTAATCTCTAGCCTGGTTGAAAGGTGCGTACTCTTAAGTGTTCACAAATTCAGATGTGGCACTTTTCATGAACCAACCCATTCTTTGTTTGGCTTGTGGGTGTTTTTATTCTTCTACCATGGAAGTCTTTTTATGCATTGGTATCCACATCTGCCTGAAACACTCCTGCCAGTTTCCCTCACCTCTCTGCACTTGTTCACCCCCATCGCAGGGGATGGTGCATTGGCCGTTCAAGCGCTAACTCTGCCCCATCTGCCCCCCACTTCTTCTTTCCGGAGGCCTTAATGCTATTCTTTCATTAGCCAGCAGGGGCACACTTTCATACACTGACCAGTGTACAGTCTATTCTGTATTTGTAACTTTTGTAAATATTTTTTAAATAGCCGGAGCGCGTGGATGTAGAGCTCTGTCCAGGAAAGCATGATTGGGCTTGTATTTTGCTCTCACGTTGCAAAGTATTTAAAGACACCTCTGCTTATCAGGAAGGGAGAGGGAAGGGTACTAATTCCTCATTGCCTTATACCAAATATTCAAGCCTCTTTATGAAATAATGTATTGTTCTCCTCATCATCCTCCATTCACTTCCCATGCATATTCACCCATAAGCATTGGGAAACCACACGGGGGGAAAGAGGTGGGCTTGTAAAGCCCCGACGAAATGGTCAGCATTGGAGTGAAATACCCATAAGTATATGTGTGTGCATAGTATATCTTTGGAAGTTCTCCAACCCAAGCTTTATTGAAATGGAGAGTAGCTCTCAGTCATTTCATTCGGACTTGTGAAGGACCGCGTCCTGTACGACTTCACCTGTAGCATATGTATATATGAACATAGTTCTATCAGCTGTGCATGGAACGAAACATGCACAGATTCCCTATGCATACCAAGTGTAGACGTCCTGTGCACTTTGCACAACCCCTTGCCACAACACACATGCACAACCTGCTGCCTATAAATTTTCCTTACAGATTTTGGTTGAGAGAGAAAAGAGATACCAGACAGCCATTTTTTTCCATCTCTGACTCCCTTATTTTTCCCTCTGCCTATATCACTCTGGCATATAAAGTGATCCTACCCATTTGGGTGACTTCAGCTTAGTATTGTACATGTAAACGTTGAGCTCGCGGTATTTGGGTTTCTCTGCTCCATAATCTGGGTGGCCACTTGAGTAATTTCAGTCTCATCAAACCTTCTCTTCCTTATCAGGAGGAGGCCTTGTGCCTCCAACCTTGAGCTTTTGCAGCAAAGCAAGTGATCAACCACTTCTGGGAGCAGCCATCTTTTCCCAAGACTTGGTTGACACACAATAGCAAGGTCTTATCGATATCAGAGTTAAAGAGAGGGCTTGGATGCAAATCAGATTGTCACTGCAGTGAAATCATTTAATATCACTGTACATTCCAGTTTTCTCTATGGAATGAAGCCAAAGTGGATGGAGTGCAACCAAGTGACACGAACCATTGTGTGAACCAATCTTAAAGCAGCCAATTCACACAGTTCTGCTCCAGAAATAGGGAAGAAGGAAAGCAGGAAAATTCCCTCTCAAGGGTTACTCAGGTTAAGAGGCTGTGGCATCTTAGCCAAAGAAAATCGGTCCACTCTGGGCATCTCTGCATCCGTTGTGTAGCTCAAAAGCATATGTTGTTGTCCCTTGCTTTCAATCTCTGTGTAGGACTAACCTGCAAGTTTTCTCTCAATTCACACACTCATGCCACTGAAGAACCACCAGATGGTGTCTATTTCAACAGGGGAAGGAGCAAACCCACCAATTCTGAGCTTGTACCAGGGATGTATGGAAAAGTACTCCTCTCTGGGGAGAGTATTGGTGATGCCATTGCTGCACATCAGTTTTCCTTTAGAGGGCACTGTGAACCATCTCATTGATGGCTGGGGCAAGAGGGCACATGGGTGTATGTATATATATATATGTATTTGTGTATATATTTGTGCGTCTGCTGAGGCCTGTACCTTAAGTCATCTTGAGAGAGGGAGAAAGATCTCAGGGTGAATCCCTTCCCGAAAACCCTGCCACCTCAGGTGTTCACTCACCTTCATGCCAATTCTCTCCATATTTTGCCTTTTGGGGTCACAATCCAAGGCAAGGAAAGCGGCAAAGAGGTGCCCCCCATCCTACCGCACCTCTTTGTGGGTACCAAGTGGTATCTCTCAGTTGGGTTGGTATCCAACCTGTCTGGAGAAGCATCAGGCCTTTGCAGCCAGTAGCAGGAGTCCTTGCTCCTTTGGGGCATGATGCCTCACTTGCCGCCACCACACGGGGCAATTAATGACTGTGACAATTGATGAGCAGGAGCCAGATTCTGTCTGTTTGTGTCTGTCTCCCAGTTCAGAGACATAGCTGGGGAAGGCAGTGAGGAACGCTTTTCCTGCACCACTTCTCAGTATTCCTTTGCCAAGTACATACCTCATATAGTTTCTGCAGATGGTACCCCACACTGATCCGTGCTACACCTCCTTCACACCCATTTGATGATAGTTCTCGAAGAGTATCTTTACTCAAGGGGTTACCCTTTGGGATGCAGATTAGAAGGTTTGGGGAAGAACCGAAAGCTGTTCTCACATCCATTGGGAAGCAAAGGAAGTTTCCAGTAAGGGAGAAACCCCATCACCCCTTCCCTCTTTCCCCTCTTACCCCGCCTCCATATACTATGCATTGTGGGTTTTCCCCCCTCGCAGTCCACAGCAGGGAAAGAAACTGTGAGCAGGGAGATAGTGAATGTACGTTTGGGACACGAGGTTTTCAGTGTGTTACCGAAAAAGGGTGGGTTGGGGGTGGTCAGAGGGAAGGGAAGATGAAATGTCACCAGGTAGGAAAGTGGTCTCCCTCCACCTCATGCTTCTCCCCTTCCCCTCCCCTTCTTTTTTTCTTTCTTTTTGTGTCTGGGAAGCAGGACGCTGCTGATGTAAAAAAAATACGACAATCACAATTTGTCTGTGACGTGCGATTTTGAAAAAAAAAACCCTGAAAAGTCTGGGGTGAGGAAAAAAATAACCCTTTTTTGTGTTTTTGGTCAGGATTTTAAAGAAAGATATTTTTATGGTAATTGTCGCTGGTCTATTTTACTATATATTTATGTAATAAATATATGATTAAAAAACAAACAAACCTACCCTTAAAAAAGACAAAAAAAAATCCAACCCTCACAGCCCCAACTGGTTTTTGGTGTCTCATTTCGGATGAGTGGGGGCGGGCAGGACTTCTTTTTCATACAATTCCAAAATGGAGCAGGGCAAGCTCCACTGAGGTCTGTTCCAGAGGCAGAATTTCTTGGCGTAAACAGAGGGCTATACCACCATAATTCTCTTCTCACACGTTGTGCAAGGAGGTTTGAGAACTTTCCCTCTGGGTGCAAATCGTCAGTCAGATAATGTCCAAATGTAGCTTTCCCCAAGAACTAAACAGGCCTCGTTGGGCTGTGAAGGTGCGTACCAAGACCTAAACAGTCCTAGTTGGGTTGTGAAGGTGTGCCCCAATACCTAAATAGTCCTAGTTGGGCTATGAAAGTGCACCCCAAGACCTAAACAGGCCTTGTTGGATTGTGAAGGTGTGCCCCAAGACCTAAACAGTCCTCGTTGGGTTGGGAAGGTGCGCCCCAATACCTAAATAGTTCTAGTTGGGCTATGAAAGTGCACCCCAAGACCTAAACAGGCCTTGTTGGGTTGTCAAGGTACACCTCAAGACATAACAGTCCTCGTTGGGTTTGAAGGTGTGCCCCAATACCTAAATAGTTCTCGTTGGGCTATGAAAGTGCGTACCAAGACCTAAACAGTCCTTTTTGGGTTGTGAAGGTGCGCCCCAAGACCTAAACAGTCCTTGTTGGGCTATGGAAGTGCGTCCCAAGAGCTAAACAGTCCTTGTTGGGCTGTGAAGATGCGCCCCAAGACCTAAACAATCCTCATCTGGCTGTGAAGGTACACCCCAAGACCTAAACAGTCCTCCTTGGGCTGTGAAGGTGTGTGTGTCCCAACATTGTCTGGCTGCTAAGACAAGCCAAGGAAAAAGGAACATCCTTCCTCCTCTCAGAATTCTCTCAGAATTCTCTAAAAAGACTCTGATGGAGCTTGGTCTCTCCTAGACTTCATTTTCACTGCAACTTCTCATATTCATTAAGGTCCCAACCCAAAAGAGGTTGCTCAATAACTCCTAAACATAAAAAAGCATATTGTCTTTTTGGCTTTCAAAAAAAAGTGGGATTTTAGTGATGGTACACATCCGTGGCCTCTCATTGAGAAATAGGCTTGGGATAAATAATATGATGGCAAGGAAGACCCTCCCATAAGTATAGAGATTTGGAAGGAACAAAAATGTGCATATAGTCTGAATACCCAATTGAATTTTCACCTCTGGTAAGGAGGGAAATACACAAAATAAAATCGACTAGAGGTGACGTATAAAATAATTACATTTGTCAAACCACATACCGTTTGATGTGGAATATGGAAGTCTCACTACTTTCTATGGCACATAAGCACAATTTACTTGACTAGGATGGGCCAAAGGTCTATAGCAAGGTGAGTGATGTGCTGTGTATAAGGTTTCAAGTGTTTCTTGCCTTCTCACAGTGGCAAAAGAGGCGACCCTGTTAGATCCCAGTTCTCCATCACACTCCCCACTTGAGGAAATTTCAAAAGGTAAAGGAGGAACGAGAGGCGAGCAATGCAAGACGACAATCCAGGCATTTTGCTTTCAATATATTATTCCCATGTGGTTGGCACCACTGCAGGGAAGAGTGCCATACTATTCACACAAATCCAATATACATAAGGTAATATTTACAAAAAACGGCAGTTCTGCTTGCTTCTGTACAGGTGGGGGCAGCAGATGCTACACCAGTATAAATAGTTAGCTGGGTCCAGGCCCAGAGGGCAGTCTGGTTAGTGCAACGATGCAGGGAAGGCAAGAAAGGAAGAAAGGTGGGACAGTAGAAATGTGTGGGTCTCGCTTTCCATCTACTGTGCATCAATGCGGAAGGAGAGCAACTTCTCAGAGTGCATATTATTGAGGGTGCGCAGGTCAGGAAGCTTCAAGAGTAGTTTGGTGAAGCGGGAAGTCTCCTGGGGGTGATTCTTGAGGATGAGGGCCCGAAGAGCCCGAATTAGTGTCTCCTGCAGCTGCTCCACTGATGCCTGGTTCTCAATGCCAGAGCGATCTGAATGGTGCAAAGATAACCAGTTAGTGATGCTATATGAGCAGCAAAACAGTTCAAAAACAGACAAAAATATCTAGGACTTAATGCAGTKATTTTAATGCTATTGATCTAAAAACATAGTACAACCYCCATATCCACAGGGAATACATTCCTAAACTTTGTGTAGATAATATAAATAGCAATCCCAATTGAAATGAAGGGRACCTCTRGCCCACAGAACAACACAGAGCCATTCTGATGGACTTRRGCAATGCCCAGWGGGGACATATCTTGGCARATRTGGATAAATTAAACCACAGATACTGGTCCTATAGATAACAGTGGTCGTACTGTATTTCTTTCCAGCCTCTCACCAGGATATCAACAAACCATSCCAGAATAAATTCTGAAAGGTCAGGATTAGTAACACATTWACATTGGCCATTAAAGAAAATTAATCTGTCACTGCTAAAKTAATGAGAAACAGTCACTGGTACTAAAAAGCAGCCCTGTTAATATTTAACRATTAAAATAAARGATTTTCAACATAGCTGTTGAAATRTTTAACAAAGTAGATGTAATTAGTTATTTAAATTATTTCTAAACTCTSTAGCTGAGCCTGATTTAAGGGATTCCAATGTTTCTGAACCCTTACTCATGCTTTCTAAAGCTACATSCCTGAATGTATGACTTTGRAAATGAACACAAAGGATGATARGCCCTTTGGTCCAAGGAGTTTTGACTCAATTTCTTAAAAAAWKGAGAGGCRGGAAAAGRAATTGGGGACAACAACAAAAAACTGTTGTTGCTAATATTTCTGGTTCGTACCAGTTACGATGGTTGGGGAAAGRTACTGAAGGTATTAACCCTTCATGGAAAAGAAGGCATGTCAACAGAGAAAAGAAGTTCTGTGGCACTTTGCCTTGGCTAAGATTTGAAGAGTTGATGGTCTTGGGCAAAGATACCTCTTGGGAAATAAAGCCAACAGAATAGGATAGGACATAGGTAAGGCAGTTTCAAATCAAGGGAAAATCAAAGCATCTGTGGTACAGAGCTTGACATTTCGACCAATGCATGCTGAAGGACACCCACCTGCTGAGATCAGCACGACGGCTGTGAAGAGCCCCAACTCTTCTTCAGAGAGCTCCAAAGAACCAAGCTTCTCGCTGAATTCAAACATGGATGTCAACAAGTCCCCCATGCCCATTCCCCATAGTTCCTCAAGGCTGTACTTGGTGCGACTCATAAACGTCACAGTCTGCTCCTTGACGTTGAACAGGGAGGCAAACCGAACCATCAGCACCTGGAGAAGAGTGAGAGAAGGAGAAACACGTCAGAACACAGGAAACTCATGTCCACAGAACCCAGTCAAATGCCTTATTTGTTGGCTTGCAGGTAATGGTTTTTTATCCATGAACCAAATGGAATTAGAAATGTTTGAGATGACATCTCAGTCTAGGAAAATGTCTAATGTAGCTATCTATTCCCTTTTCTCACCATTAACTGGTTAAGATTGACCAAAGTTACAATCGTACAACGTCTTGATGGCCAACATTATAGCCACCTCTGTCAAACATCTATCTCTCTTTTGACAGAAGTTCAGATTTGATCAAAACACTTCCATTTCAAAAGACATGAAAACAAGAATGGTTGTGTATACCACAAACCTAAACGCAATGCCACAGCTCCAAAGAGTGTGCCTAATGGTGCCCATATGTGTCCCAGAGCTTTCTGGATTTTCCTTTTAACTACAACTCCATTTGTGGCATCAAAGCCGGCGCTCTATCCCCATTGTTCCTTGTTGGGGGAACAAAGAGAACTTTGCTCAAACGATTTGAAGTAAATTGCTTTTGGAGCATTTATTTTGCTTTGGGACTGGCTGTGGTCCAGTCTCCCAAAAACAAATCGAAGCTATAGATTTACTCCTAATTCATTGCTATTTCTAAGAAAAGCCATTAGATTACTGAACTTCAGATATATAAAGCAATCTTGCTCCTTACTACTTTTATCAGTATGTACAAGTATATATGAGTGTTTATATACTCACAGACACAGTTTTTCTCATTACATTCCCACATAACAACATCTGGTAGCTCATAATTAGGGGGGGAAAGCCTACCTCAAATGTACCGGCTTTGAGTAGCGAGACCTGGTCATGTTGTGACAGCTCTTGGAAACCAGGGATGTGTTTTGCGAATTCCACAACCTCTCGCACAGCAGGTGTGAAGCTCAATGAGAAATCCTCCCATATCTCTTGGACCGTGCGGCCACTGCGACCGTAAGGGTGACAATTCATAGGACACGCCTGTTGAGGTGGAAAACAGAGAGTCACGTTAGATAAGGAACCAAGTGCAAGAATCAGATCCATCTGAAGCTGGCTGATGGGCTTTGCAAGCCGGCAGATAAGCCGTTTCTAAACTCCCATCTATGGCAGCTCTTAGGCATTTGGGTTTCCAACCCCTGATATTAAAAGGGTTTTCTTTGGTCTTCCAGCAGGGAGGGCTCAATGGAACTGATTTTTCACTACATTAAGACCTCTTTTTCGTATATATCCCTTGATGTAAGTTTTGACAATACAAGGGCTACTGAATTCAGCGGTTTTGTCTCTCTCAACCCACAATTTATCCTTCACACCTTCCCAGAACAGTAGCAGTAGATGAGTGTCTCCTTGTGGAACACCAAGCTGTTAAGCCACTTTTACTAATTAACACAACTGAGATGCCATCTCATGTGTTAATTGATGGTGTGAGTCCCAGTCCCAACTTGTTTACTTGGAAATTAATCTACTCCCAAGAGTCATAAAGAAATGTTTATTTCAAGTCCCCAGCATTGCAACTGTGGAACACACTGTTTTATTATAAGTAATAATGTTTAACTCTCTTATCAATGACTGACCCAAGATAATGTATCTGATTACAACACAACTCGTTTAGAACTAAATTTGGGAGTTCTAGTGCCGAAAAATAAATTATTCAACTTCTTGTAAAAATAATGGGTTCAAAACAAAACGTAAGCTAAGGTCAAATGACACCCAAACAGATGTTGGGCTCCAAAGCAGCTGAGATATGGACTATGAAGCTCCTCAAGCAATTTTCTCCTCTGGCCTCCCAACAGCCTAATCATGGAACATCCTTCACTTATAAAGAAGGCAGCTAAACATAACTGGCTACTGAATAAACCTTAGCAGGGAAAGGAAAACACAATGTGAGCTGTGAATATCGCGCTTACCAAGAGTATATCTCTGGGGTCTGCTTGCCGTGGGCAACCTTGCCCGGTGGAAGGATCTGTCTGCCCAGACAAATAGTTGGAGGGGCAAAATCGATGTCCATTCATGTTGTTCTGGTGACAGACATTGTTGGGGGAGGAAGAATCAGAGTTCCAATTGTCATTCTGAGGGCAGAGCCCATTGTTGTGGTGGTTGCTGGTCAACCAGCTGTTTTCCCAAGTAGGAGAGTTGTCACTCCCCAAGGATGGTGGGGTGCCTGTGGCCAGTTTATCATGGGCATAAACAAAAATCTCCTTGTGGGCCTTGGCTACTTGCGAGATTACGTCTTCCATTACATCGCCGGGGCTGGGGGAGCGCGGGGGTGTCAGTTGCTGGGAGAACTGGGAGAAGCACAGAGGCTGTTGGGGTGGCGAGACTGCATGGGATGGCGGGGAGCAGGGTGCCATCTGGGGCTGGTGGCACTGCAGGGGGCTGGTCGTGACTTGCGGGTGTCCCATTTGTATGTTCTCAGGTGGACACTGTGCACTCAGTTGGTTGTTGGCCATGTTGTTCATGGCGCTCTGCATCTCGGCCAACATCCTCTGCTTTTCACGCTTGGGGATACGCCCAAAGCGTACAGCTATAGAGAGGGGAAAAAGAGAAGACGACAAGTGAGCATTATTATGATGTTTGTGGAGGGATCATTTCATAAAACCAACATTGGAAGCATTACATTTTTGCACTAGAACTCCCAGAATACTATGTAAGTTGTAGGGGTTCAGTGGATGGCTCTACAATGTCTACTGAAAAGCAAGTTTAGTCAAAGACCAATCAGCAAGGGAACCAGGCAGACTTTTTTGGCAAGGTGTAATACTGCCAATGCCACCAAAGAAAAGTCCTTATCCCATCTATAGGTTCAATTCCATATATAGATTTCTATCCCATATATAAGTTTCATCATAAAGGTGAGAGCAAGCAAGGCACACTGATGGGAGTACGACAGCTACTGAAATTGCTGGTATAGGGGAAGATAGGGTGGAAGTGAACCAGTAGAGGAGTAGTAGTAGTAATAATAATAATCTTTATTTATATCCTGCCACCATCTCCTAAAAGGGACTCGGGCTGCTTACAAGGCACTACAAGTGTAGTATATAACAGAAACAGTACAGGAGTATAAAAAATAATATCAAAAGTTATAAAACAACCACTATTAACACATCAACTAAAGTAAAAACAGTTTAAAACTCAGACCATCTGTAGTTAAAACTAACTGCCTTCAAATCACAGCTGAAGTGTCAAAGTGTCAACCTCATATGGACTTATTTCAGCCTACTCAAGGCCAAAAGCCTGCTTTAAAATCCATGTTTTAGGCTGGATCAGAAGAAGCCAAGGGTGAGGGGCTAACCTAAATTCTTTTGGGAGGGTATTCCAGAGTAAGTTGCCTAATTGTGAAGGAGTAGCCAAGATATGTGTTAAAATACATCCTGAAAGATTTGTGAGGGATTGTATGTGGTTCTCTCTCATCCTCCACAAAAACGCAGTTTCAGTGCTCATAGATATGATTATATGAGCAAAGAAATGTGCAAAACAACCACTAGTCTTTCCTCACCAGCCACAGCCCACAAATTGCCAGCCTCCCACTCATGGTGCAAGAGGGACTCACCATCGCGGGACATGCCAACTCCCATGCACTTCTTGAAACGGCACTGCTGGCAGCGGTTCCGGTTGATGCGTACAATGTTGCAGGTTTCATTCTTGAGGCACTTTTTGTACTGGATGTTTTGCTGAATGCTGCGCCGGAAAAAACCCTGGAACAGGGAGGAGAGTGCATTAGCGTCAAGGTAAGGTGAGGCAGCAATCTCATCTCTAAATTTAAACCCTCAGAGTTTAAATAGGCTTTCCAACCCAGATCCTTGAGACTGTGAGCTAGAGAGTAACTAACAAGGTCTCCTGATTTACATGGTACACAGCAGTTTGGGATCAAGGGACCCATCTTCTGTGTCACTGCCCCACATAGGCGTGTCAAATTTAAGAAAGGCTCTAGGATATTCTGAGATTCTTTGCACCAATACTAACATTTTTAAGTGAGGAATGAAAGCTATCATGCAGGTACCACAAAAAGCAACTGCAGAACCAAGAGGTAACAGTCAACTCACATATAAAATTTGGTCCTTGGGCCCAGCAAAGTTGCCCACCCCTTTCCTAGTCTCTTTTTGTGCCCACGCAGATGGTGAGGCAAACACTTCCACTGGGCTACATGCCATGCCCATTTACTCAAAGAAAGTGTGCCATTGGAAACTTGGAGCCTCAAATGGAAAAAATAACTTGAGCTAGTCTCAGTCTCTGCATCCCACCCCTCTGGTATTGAAGTCCCACACACATTCTTCAATGCATGGAGGAAAAGGGAGAGAAAGATGCTCACCTTGCAGCCTTCACAAGCATGGACGCCATAATGGAAACCAGAGGCAACATCCCCACAGACTTTGCACAAGAGGACCATCCCATTGAGTTCTGAGAGGAGAAGGAGGGAAAGAGAAAGACAGGCAATGAGACTTTGTGCTCCAAAAACTCTTTTTTATTCTGTATCGCCAGATTGCTCCTACCCATAGCCCATGTAATAACTCTGAAAAGCCCAAAGCAGCCAAACTGCCTCTGATGAAGCTGGGAGGCATTCAGGCTGCCAGAAAGGTGTACTGAGGAGATAGGATTGGACCTAGGCTTCTAATAATCTAGCAAAGGTGTTGATTTAACTATAAACCCCTTTATTCCAAGACCCAGACTTGGAATAATCTGGCAGAGGAGTTGATTTAACTATAACTGCTGTGGAAATGCCCACCAGAAAATCGATAACCTGTGCCCCCAGAACTTGGAGGAGTTGCTCCTCCGAAATCCCCCAGCCAGCAAGGATCCTGGAACTTGTTGCCCAAAAATAGCTTTTCCAAGGATTGCCAAAGCTGTAGTGTCTGTCCATATACTTACTTGTGATGTTGCTACTGGTGCTTTTGGTTGGAGATACGCGTCTTCCATCATCCACAGCCACCTGCAAACTTCCTGGTGAGCCTCCAGAACTATAGGAGGAGGATGACGAGGAGGAAGAGGAAGGAGAGGCGTCATCACGTAGCCCAGCTGAACTCCCTCCGTATGGGCGACCAGAGTCATGCCCTAGGGATCCAGTGGGTGAAGGTGGAAAGTAGCTGGGGAAAGCAGACTGCGAGGAAAGTTGGCAACTGCCATTGGAACTGTCACTGCCGCAGAGAGAGACGGGACTGGTGCGGCTTGGTGAAGAACCATTGGAGCCAATATAACTGATCACGCCACCTGTAGAAGGTTCAAAAGACATAAAGAGAGAGTCATAAGAAGCTGTCTTTCTGTTAAAGATTTGTTAATGCAGAAAGTTCTGTGTTTGATGGCTTGAGTTTCTTTGAAACATCATATTGGGACCTCAAAGATATCAACTGCTTTAAAGCTTGAGGCCTCATTATTGCAAAGACTATAAGATACGAGAATTGCATTGAAAAGTTGTATTTTCAAATGCAAACATACAAAAAAAATCTGACAATTATTAGTGGTTGGAAGGCAGAATATTTCTGGGGAGCAAAGAGATGCATGAACAAGACCCTTATACTTTCCTCATGCCCAAGTAGGTTTGCCATTCTTCAGTTGGAAAGCCATATATCCCATATATGTCTAAGAAGCACCCTAAGTCAGCATACGACCTTGTTCTTCAATACAAGGAAGAGCCCTGCAACCTACACAAACCGACACAATCTAAGCCTGAAGATGTTATTATGCAGAGAAAGGAAGCACCTTTCCTAAGGCAGAAAAGGTTACACCTTTCGAGCTTCACAGATTTTTTTTAAAGCTCTTAAAATTGGGGCACAAGGACAGAGGTTCGTATAAATAGAAATGTAGTGGAGAGACAAAATGGCCAACCAGATGTTGCTCGTAGACAATAAGTGCATGGTTATAATTAACTGGAAGGTAAATAGCTTGACGCTGACTCAGGCAAGTGAGCCAAGCTCCATAACGCTGAGAACAGCAAAACATGCACACATGCATGCATACTCACCAGACAACTGACCTGAATAAAATGTCACCCTAAATCTAAATACAGCAATCGCTGAGCAGGCAGAGAAGCACACCTACCAAGCCCTAGGTATACCAAGCCATATTAGGTAAGATATGAGAACATCTGGATCGCTTTGCTGAATCAAAACAAGAGCATTATGTTCTGCTCCCAGCTTTGACCAGAGAAAAACCCCTAAGAGTTCCTATGTAGACAACACTCAGGATGCTGTGGATTAAAGTTCAGCATTTAACATAAATTATTCCCAAAATTTGGCCATCCAGCTATTTTAGACTTCATCTCCCATAAGCTCCAGCCAACTTGGCCAATGGTCAGGAATTCTGGAAGCTGAAGTCCAAAACAGCTGGAGACCAAAGTTTGGAAAACACTTGAGATGATCTCCAAGATCCTCTTAACTCTAAAATTCTATTTCAATGCCTATTCCTATTCCCTTGAATTCATGGAACTAAACAAGCTCTTTGAACCCATGGAATCTGATAACTCGGCATGTTCTATCACTTCAATGGGTCCACTCCAATTAAGATTCTTAACTGGATTTAAGCTTATGCCTACCCTACCTTTGAACATGGGGATCCTTGGCTGCATATACTCAGAGCTTGGCAAATCTAGTTTTTGGACTACTACAACAAAGCTGGTGCAACTCCAGTGTCCTCCAGCCATTATGGAATCTGTAAGTTGTCATCAGGAAAAAGCATAATTTTCAGATTTGACACATACTAAACTGTTTTCTGTCTCTAAAGAAGGGATTTCTCCCTACTCCTATTACCACCTGCTACATTTGTTTTTTTCCTATTTTTCTCACTCCATCCAGATGCAGCCACTGCTGTAAACAACAGGATTATCATATATACACATGTAAAGGGAAAAGATGGAAGGAGGGAGACAAGCACCTAAAAGAGGTAGCAATTAATACTTTGGTTCTCCCTGCGAACATGTGAATTTTCAGCGATACATGTGAGCGTCTGGGATACAGCGCTCGGCACATGGGAGCTGTCTCTGAGGCCACGTGCAAGCACTGGAATGATTTGGAGAGGGGGAGATAAACCTACTTTTGAGCAAAAACTACTGATGAGGAAATTAAAACAAAGCCGCCAAGTGCGTGGGAACTTTGTGGTCAGCAGGCACCAAGCAAACACCAATCCTGTTTTATGTTCCGTGGTGGGAAGCTCAGAGGCACATCCCGCCAAAATGCTTCTCTGGCAAATCAAACTCCCTCTCTGTTCTCAATTGCTGACCTACATTTCAATGCTGCAAAAGGGAAAACACACACAAGAGCAGAGAGGAAAAACAGGGCAGGTGGCCAAGCGATTGTTGAAAACATGGGAGGAAGCCAAAAATTGGGGAAGGAAAAAAACAGCCCGCTATCACGCCCCTGGAGTTGAGGAGGGTGGCTAACCTGGGAACCTGGAGATAGAGGAAAACACACACCGCTTTTTGAGCCGGGCTACTTGCCAAAGGGCAAGCAAGGCAGGAGAGGCCTCAAGCAAAGGAAAAACAAAGCAATCTGAGCCAACGGGATTATAAACAAGGTCACGTGTGAGAGCCACGTTCAAGGGCCAGGCGGGCCGTTGCAACAACAGGCCAGAGGAGCCCTTGACCAGCACTTGCCTGGGAGGCTTTTATCAACACTGGCTGATTCCCACTGGCCCATGACCTTCCTTGTATGAGACCCAAATATTTTGGGGAGCTGGGGAAAAGAGAAAGAGCTGCTTGTTCGGCAATTGTTAAAAACAAAAATTGGAAATTTTCCCTTTCTGGAGTAGAACGGAACTAAAGGATTTGGAGAGTTACAGTCCAAAAAAAAAAAAAAAACTTCTCCAAGATCTCACTACACAATACAATCCCTGCTAGTATGGCAAGCACTGCTTTTCTCAACCTGACAACATCTCCTCTGCTCTTACAACACAGAAATAGCCAAAGGGTTATGTTGTCTAGGGCATTCTGGGTGCTGTGATCCCAAAACGCACCAGGATTTTAGACGTATATGCGGTTTTATTAATTGCTCACCAGGAGTATGTTACCTTCTCCAAGATCGCACTACAATATAATCCCAAGCACTACTTTTCTCAACCTGCCAACACCTCTATTTCCATGTAACAGAAATAGCTGAGGATTATATTGTCTGGAGGATTCTGGGTGCTGTGGTCCCAAAACGTACCAGAATTTTAGACGTATGTGCTGTTTTATTCAATGCTCATCAGGAGTAAGTTACCAACCCTGTCTTCTTGCATTGTGCTTCTTAAGATTATCTGATGTAGAGAGCCAAAACCTTATAGGAACAGAAGGGACTAGGCTCAATACTAGGCTGTTCCAAGTCCCTTTAACACCCAAGGCAGACAAGTCATACTCTTCTCCACCCAGCAGGAAAATTGCAATAATAAAAGAATAATTAATTAAATTAATCTTGTCCAAGGTGACTATTTCATCATGATTTTACAAATGGGCAATTCAATTTATCATCTGCCTTAAGCAGGGCAAGAGCTCATAGGTGAAGCTTTGACCCCTTCCATTACTCTACTTCCTGATTGAAATCTAGATATTTTTTCCTCTCCTTTCCTATCACAGTGAAGAAGCATTCACCATAAGGGAAGATCTTCTTTATGCTTTGTTGCATTTAGAACACTGCAGGAAGATATGTTAATTGCTTGCATGGTCTGTATAATTCCTCTCTGCGCGCTTAGCAGGGAGGCTCTAGCTGCAGATTTCTCTATCTGCAGGAGGTCAGACTAGAGGACCCCCTGAGGCTCTCTTCCCAACTATGACTCGTATCTGGCTTTGAAGTTTAAAGTGTCTCAGCCTCTACTACTGTGGGGCAAATCACATAACAAGCTCAGTATGCTGCATATTGCAAAAATCACGAGCAAGCAGCATGCAAGCTACATTCTTTTGGGGAGTTCTACATATGAGAAGCTGAACTGGAATAAATAGAGGAAGGAGGGGGCTTTTTGCTTGCTTGCAAAATAAAAGAAGTGGTACAGGAGGTCATGATCATGAGTCAATAAAATATTCTAGATCATACACTTCTAGGACTCACTCATCTCTAGTCACCAAACGACCATTTCTCTTCTAGAGACTTATGCACACAGGAGGTTCTCTTTGCATTTGTGCACAAGCAGACATGGTGGAGGTAACATGCACCAATGGCATGCACTCCTAGCCTCACTTCATCACTTAAAAGACCATAAGGCAAGTTCTGGAAAATGTCTTGTCACCGAAGGGCCAAACACAAGGGTCAGGGACATCATTGGGAGCCTCATTCCAGCACTATGCAAAAGGATAAGACTAAAAATACCAGCATATTTTCACCTAAACAATTCTACTGACAGCAATAAGACTTTCATGAGGTTCTGGAAGACCTAGTGATGCCTAGGTGAAGTGTTTTCTCTCGGGTTGGATCCACACTGTCAAATAATGCAGTTTGACCTATATAACTAATTTCAGTGCAATTCAAAACTGCAGTGTAGATCGTGCCTGGGTCTCCAGTACAATTTTATGGGTGAAGTTCCTCCATTGAAAGTTGACCAWTGATCAGGCATGGACCAACTTTGGCCCTCTGGGTGTTTTGGATTTCAACTCCCACAATTCCTAACAGCCTACYRSCTGTTAGGAATTGTGGAAGTTGAAGTCCAAAACACCCAGARGKCCAAASTTGGCCCATKACTGCCATAAATCCATATTGAAGGCCTAGAKATAATACTTCTTCAGACATGTGTAGGTCCTCCAGAGCTATTCTATGATATGCTTYRTCTGGACGTCATTCATTCCAGGRAAGAATAATACACTTCCAATGCCATACAGTGTTTTTGAAGTAGAACTTTATTCCAGRGAGATAGGGACTCCTACTGAGGCCAGGCAAGGTCCCAAGGACGAAGRAGGCCACTGATTATTCAGGCTGGGGCTCTTGATCTCAATGAAGAGCCTCTAGGTCTGCAGAGGTCTGGGAGCCAGCCAGGTGTCTGGCGTGTCAAGGCAGGCACGATCACGCTGTCTGGGTTGTGAGTGTGGCCCTGGCACGTGACCTTGCTAGCAATCCCGCTGGCACCAACGGCCTTGTGTTTGCTTTGCTCATGGCCTCTCCGGAAAAACCACCTCGCAGGGCCCTCCTCCTATTGACTCTCTCTCTTTCAACAGTCAGGAAGCAGAGTTTGCACTCCTGGCAGGTCAGGGCATGAAAAGGTGGCAGGGCTGGGCCCTCCGGCGGAGACAGGCCTCCCTATTCTGTAGTCTTCCT